AGCTTTTAGGCCAGCAGATATCTCAGTTACCTGCAGAACAAAAATTAAAACAAAAATATGTATCATAGGAGAACACAATTCGTTGGGAGTGAAGGTAAAAGGCATTTTGATATACAACAACAATATCACGACTGATGGCAATGTGTCATCCAGATATCAGAGGAATGAAAGGAAGCACAAAAAGTTCTAACATTTTAACATTTTATCGCCTCTTTTTCTGCGTAGCGTCCACTTTTTCTGGTGTCTACAATTCGATCAGTCCAGTTAATAGTACCCACTAACGTATTCAATTTTATCGAACAATTATGATACATCGTTGGTTGAGAAATAACAAGAGCTGTCAGTTGAACGACAAACAACATGGGGTTGCCATTTGAAAAACAAAAGTTATGGGTGGTTTCGCAGGGGTTGCTCGCGAGGGTGTGGATTTTGCTCTGCTACATGAAAGTGCTGGTGGTCTTCTATGATATACATATTTTTTTTCAATTTTTTTCTGCAGGTGACTGAGATATCTGCTGGCCTAAAAGCTCTGGAACACCCGGTATACACATGTATATCGCCAATGACAAACATCTCCCACACACACCTAAGTGGTTGAGTTCCATGTTTGCTGTCGGAATTCTATAGTTTGGACGGCCATCCTTTTCCAGGAGCTCACGTATCGCATCCACAGCAGTATACGACCACACTATAACAGCTTTTCCGAAAATGTTCACCGGGAAACTATTGGAAACGTATATATACACACACACTAGCGTTACGCTAGTTGCACACACCGATTTTGGACGGCCGGCCGGTGATCGTCGCCGGTAAAATACCGGTGAGCAGCCGTCCACTGCCGCTGTATCGCCGGTAGTACCGTGAAGTAGTGGCGTAAGTGACTAAATACACTCTTGCATACTCAACGATTTTTACCGACCATTCCAGTCTCGACTGCTCGGTGAAATTGTAGTTACTACGCATTACCTTCGTTTTGGTAGTGCGTGCTATTTACGGTAGTGCGTAATTAGCACTAGCACCAGCGTATAGTTGTGACAGATTTTCCTACGGTATCCGAAAGTATGATCACATAAGTCCGTCCTTTTGAGATTCTGGCTGGCTTTCACTCAAATATCTAAGAGCAATCCATTTGCTTAGTTTCACGCATAGAATTCTTGTTTCGGAATATCCGCCTTACTTACGTGAAAGACTGGTTGCACTATCACGCAGTGGCACTTCTCGTAATAGTCATACTTTTCTCATTCCCAGGCATTCCACAGCAATATTTACTCGAAGTTCTTCCTACAATGCGGCAGAGTTGTATAACACCATCCCTACAGACTTTAAAGAAAGTTCATTGAGAAATTTTAAGAAAAGGTTGAAAAATATGTTTCTTACACGACAGAGATAGGGCACCACATATGCAAAAAGATTTTGGCAATTTCTCACATATCCGAATATTATAAAAAATAATGAAAATACATACCAATCGAGGTCGGGTTTAAAAGCAGCTCTCATAGCTGAACTCCGCCTATTCATCATTTCTTTGAATTTTATTCAATTTGTACTTTTTATTGTGATGAATAAAGACATATCATTATTATTATTATTAAAAGCCTCTCCGATTCATACATCAAAATTCGTAGCTTAGTTTCTAAGATCTAAGCATACATGGGGACAGACAGCGGGAATCGAATTTGTTTTTTATACTATGTATTGATGTTATATGTATGAAAAATGTAAGCCGTAATTTATGACATATACAAGATATTCTGGTGTAGTGGATGTGTATCGGTCTATTGATCAAACAATGCCAGGTTCGATTCCGGGTCAAGCCAAGAATGAGAATAATATTCCTCTCACTGCACATGTAAAATAGTACGGAATATGACGTTTTCTCTGTTGATAGTTAAAAAGTAGTTTCCTTGTCTGAAGGTTCATGTATGTAACGAACCTTTTATTATCATTTCTTAGCGCCGTTGTCTGTTCGCTTTGAGATATTGTTATTGTTCCACAATAATACAAACTCATCGACCATATTGACACGAACAGCTTGAGACCCAGAAAGTAAAGACCGTGGAAAATTGCCATCAATATCGGAGGCGTCACAGTTCTTCGCGGTTCGCTAGTCCGATAAATTGTTTACCAGTTTTGCAGTATCGATTTTGAATTGAGTGCGAGATTGCTCACTTAACTAAATTGAAGCTTCTAATCGAATGAGAAACTTGGTAAAAAACACCTGTGCTTCCTGCTCTGGAGCGAACAATAAAATTCGATGCAGATGCAAAAACCGACGGAGCCTTGGGCTACGTTTAATTTATTGTCGAGCATTTTCTGCAACTGAACGGGAGCTTGTTTTTTATTCATTATTCAACAGCGCAACTTTCCAGGTGAGCGTCTGATGGATTTTCCTCGGTTTCGAAATGTTAACGTTATACTGTTCCGTTATACTGTGCCTTGGGAAGGACAAACACTAACGCTAAATGCACACACACCGATTTTGGTGTGTGTGTGCATTTAGCGTAACGGTAGTTGCACACCGATTTTGGACGGCTGACTTTGCACCGGTCGTCCAAATTCCAATAGTGAACCACATGTGGGAACAGGACCTGGCACACACGCCGACCGGTGATCGTCGCCGGTAAAATACCGGTGAGCAGCCGTCCACTGCCACTGTATCGCCGGCAGTACCGGGAAGTAGTGGCGTACATGACTAAATACACTCTTGCATACTCACCGGTTTTTTACCGACCATTTCAGTCTCGAATGCTGTGAAATTGTAGTTACTACGCATTAACTTCGTTTTGGTACTGCGTGCTAATTTCGACAACAAAGAAACTGATTGTTTGACCGATAAAAATCCGGTGAGTGTGCAAGCACCCGCTACCAATAAAATATCGGCCGTGTGTGCAACTAGCGTTACGCTTTTGGACCGATTTTGGACGGCCAGTATAAAATCGGCCGATATTTTATTGGTAGCGAGTGCTTGCACACTTACCGGATTTTTATCAGTCAAACACTCAGTTGCTTTGTTGTCGTAATTAGCACGCACCACCAAAATTAAGTTAATGCGTAGTAACTACAATTTCACCCAGCATTCGAGACTGGAATGGTCGGTAAAAAACCGGTGAGTATGCAAGAGTGTATGTACGCCACTTCTTCCCGGTACTGCCGGCGGGTGATACATTGGAAGTGGACGGCTGCTCACCGGTATTTTACCGGCGACGATCACCGGTCGGCGTGTGTGCCAGGTCCCGTTCCCACATGTGGTTCATTATTGGAATTTGGACGACCGGTACAAAGTCGGCCGTCCAAAATCGGTGTGTGTGTGTGTGTACAACTAGCGTAAAGCTACCTAGAGTTTTTTTCGAGACGGAACACAAGCACTACAGGAAAATTCTCAAGGCGCTCCAAGAGCGGCGACTGTGCGAAAGTAGCGATTTACATTTGATTTGAAACGCTGGAGATTAAATTTATTTGGAAAAGCGTTCTCAAGTGTATTCCACATAAAGGCAGTTCTCTAAATAAAAGAGTTCCTAAGTAGTGAAGTTGAAGATGTACTGAGTTTAACCACAAAACGATGAGCAGCCACAGTCCGTCGCGTATTTCTGATATGTACAACTCTTGGTGGAATGAAATGTGCCAAGTCACTTGAAAACTTCCCAGGAAAGAATCTATAAAAGAGAGACAAATCCCCAACCTTTCTTCCATATTCCAGACTGTCAAGGTTGTTGCAAGTGATGTTCGCGTTTCCAATCAGGCGGGTGGTTCTTTCCTGGATGGAATCCAGAAGCTTCAGGGTATGCTTAGGAGCGGAACTCCATACATGAGAACAATACTCCAAAGAAGGTCTGATCTGAGCTTTATATAGCATCAAAAGTTGCTAAGGTGTGTACAGTTTTTTGGTTCGGAACAGTTTTCCAAGCTTTTGAGAAGTAGCCTTTGCAGTTCCAGCGACATGATTGTGCCAAGCAAATTGATGTCCATTTCAACTACCAACAAACTTATCGAAGCAGAAAGCGGAATTGTCTGTCCTGAAACTATGATATCCTTTTCGGAGACATAAATCGTTTTGGAGAACCGATGCTGTGTTTTTGTGGCATTGAATTTAACCTAGTTAGTGTCACCAGGAGTACGTGTAGATCTCTCAGTATACTTTTCATAAATGCACACATTCTAATTAAAACAGACCTTCAAATCGTGCTGTGTGAGAGATATGCTTCACTGATTTCTGAAAATGGTTTCTCCTTCAAAGCTATTGATAGTGAAACAGTCATAAGATATATGAATAGAATCAAAAGTAATGCTGTAAGTTGTGACAATATTTATCTCTGCATGTTACACCTGGTGAAACATACCTCAGTTGCTGCCACATATTATCTATTATTTCAATTCCATTATCACAAGTCGATTTCAATTTATATGGAAACATACCAGAGTTACCCCTCTAACAAAATGTAGCGATCACACCGAATTGTCTGATATACGTCACCAGCCTACGCCTACATCATACTCCTTGATTACAGCAGGGCTTTTGACACGGTAGATTTGTCTATTATGTGTGAGAAACTTTTTGGTTTTTCTCACTGGTAAGAAGATTTTAGTTCCATAGGGTTCTGTATTGGGACCAACTCTTTTCGCCCTCTACATAAGTGATTTCCATGAAAACATAATGACATGCAAAATTTACCACTACGCCGATGATACCAACTAAATACCTTTTTCAGTTTCCATGAAATTAAAAAGCTCAAAATACTCATACAACAGAAGTATTCAATCACTATTTGATATGTCTTGTGCACAGAATTTGAAACTCAATCCAAATACATTTGGATCTGAAAAAACACTCTGATTTCCCACACAAAAAGTAATTTTTGGTGAGGTGAAATATTATACTCAGTTATTCATTAACAATCAGAAGTGTAATAAACATACATTCCACTTTACTAATTATGATATAAAAATATTCGCTGTAGCAAATTTTTCACCACAATCATTTCATTTTTATGTTTTTTTTCCAGGTGTGACTTTATCCCGTGAAGCAGCGGTTGAATAAGGTAAGTACTACCTCAAATGATATGGCCTTTTTGATAATTTTCAACTTTATAGTATCACATTAAATCAATTTCAATGCCTATCTGCTGTTTATGATACTTCGAAATCAAATAGGAGGTTTGCTTCACTGGATGTCTCCGCTTTCTCTACTTTTTGTTTACTCGCAATCTAACATCAAATTGATTATCCGGAAATTCGCCGTAGTTTGTGCAATGTACAAACTTTACCTCAGAAGAATGCAAACAGGAGGGGAGATTATAAAAACACTTCTCTGGATGTACTCTCCTAGCTCAGAAATCACAAATTTAGCGCTAAAGTTCCTGGAAAATTCTCAAAAGATACCCAGGAAAGATTGGCAGTTGGCAGAGAAAGTGGTGAATTGGAACAAGATCCAATGGGTCCTGAACACATTTCATTCACATATATCATCATTTATCCTTTAATATTACAGCAAAGCCTGGAACTTCCACTAAAAAACCCGTCAGTAATCCATAGAGGAAGTTTGGATCTGACATATATACCCAAAAAATGAAGTCTGACTAAGATCTTAGCGAACTTTCCTTGCTCATAAATCACAAATCCATCCAGTTTTCAATGAATTCCAAAAAGACATCCAGGAAAGATTGACAGTTGGCAAAAAAAGTGGTATATTTGAAAAATATTGAATGGGCTGTGAACTTATTTAATTAATATATATCGCCAGGACCAGAAGTCATGTATCCGGTCATACTACAAAAAAACGGAACTTCTATTTAAAAAACTGTGCAAAGGAAGTTTATATCTGATACCCTTACCAAAAACACGAAACTGAATAGGACCACATCCATACCGTAACTTGAGAAAAAAATGGACAGAATTTGGCCAGGGCCTTGATTCGAATCAGTTTCATCTCATTCGTTTCAAAAGGAACAGACGACAAAGAGAGTGTTTTAGATTTCTTGGAAAAACAGGACACAACTGATAACACGTGCCTAGATTCAATCATCCAGGTTTCGAGGTGAAGCCGATTCAAACAGGCAAGCTGTACGTGGATAGACTGCTTCTTTAGAGATAGGTTGGTATTCACGAACATTATGGGGGAAACAGCAGTAACTTGAGTGACTAAGGGCTATCGTGACGGGGAGTCTAGCTCCACTGCTAACTGCTAAGGTTAGCAGTGCTAAGGTTATTTACTACGTCTAGCAATCCTAGTCTTAGCATTCCATAGATGGACTGACGTAGAAGGGATGAAAATCGGCCCTACATTCCTATAAAATAAAATTACTTATTTAGTATGAGTCGATAAAATTTGATTATCAACTTTATTGTTCCTAATTAGTATTGGTAGTTAGTTTTTTTGGGGGCAATGAATCTGCTTCTCAGCAGATCTACAGAAAAAGATATATTAGAGTTCCTAAACTCCTTAGACTCTCTGAAAAGCAGCCAAGTGAATTCCGTGACGACTCCATATTTTTTATTCCCTAATAAAAAATGAATCAATAGATAGCTCGTAAAGAGGGAAATTTGCATACAAACACGAAAGTTCGTAGCTGGAAATACCTGTACCCCGTTCCTCGATTTCTCTCGAGGAGAAGGATATGAATAAATTGTTGATAGCCCGATTCGGGCTCAAGAAACGCCGTATATGATTATTATTTTGACTAAAGCCGGGGATTAATTCTGCCGAACCGTGCTCGTTGAAATTCCTAGGGGATCGTAAGGGTAACCACATATCTGGCAAGCATCCAAGTTCTTTTATTGTTTTATATATACCTTATCGGCATGAATACGGTGTTTAATTTATACTGCTGTGGAAGACCTTGACCTCGATACTGTTATATTTATTTGACACAGAAATTATAACCTCATATTCCACGGATCATGAATTTATGAATAGGAGCGATTACATCGAAGTTGAAGAGGTATTTGACAGGTTCTCTTGAACTGTATGCATATACAGTGCATTACTTTAATGTCCACCCCCTTTTATTTTTTGAACAGGTCAACTCAAACTATTGAAATGAAATTAATGCATGAATACTTTTATTTGAAGTGAAATTGACACATGAAACTTTAGAGGGTTCTGGTGACTATTTTGGCATTGGAAATTTTGAAAATTGTACACAGCTTAGGTGTCACATTTCTATTATATGTTAAAGATGAAGATTAATCTTCTTCTTGAATAAGATCTTCAGCATAGGATCTTCTTCAACATAGGATATGAATAGGAATTGTCAATGAATAATTGAATATTACTGGAGTTTAATCCCAACCCAAACCATTCTTTCAACACCTTGACACGTGTTTCAATTACCAAATGCTCATCTTCAAGTGGAAGATTGATCTTCCTCTTGAAGAAATAAGATCTTCAGCATAGGATCTTCTTCAACATAAGGTATGGACAGGAACTGTCAATGAATAATTGAATATTGCTGGAGTTTAATACCACCACCAAGTCGTTCTTCCAACACCTCGACACGTGTTTCAATCACCAAGTGATCATCTTCAAGAAGACGATTAATCTTTCTCTTAAAGATGATCACTTGATGATTGAAACACGTGTCCAGGTGTTAAAAATAACGGTTTGGTGTTGGTATTAAACTCCAGCAATATTCAATTATTCATTGACAGTTCCTTCAGTAAAATTCGTTACTAGGTACACCAAAGGTTCCAAGCAATGCATCACAAGTAAGGAATAATTGGTTATAAAAACTAGCATTTCAATAATCCTGGATATTCTGAAATGTTCTCGAACGCTCGAATAATCTGGATCGTTCAAAAACTTACTAGGGAGTGAAACTTCCAGTGTTCTTATCTTCAAGAGCACACCTATCAAGTTTTTTCATGGTTGGTAATACAGACTCCCACATCATTAATTTCCTTTTATCATTTGGGTATTCCGAGATTTTCATATTCCACAACATTTCACAATGTTCCTCAATATACTGGAATGTTGAGAAGTGCTTTCGAATACTCCCGAATGTTCTTGACTGATATAAAACTTTCTAGAGGGCAAAAATCCCCTTCTACCTTTAAAATCGCGCCCTTCTAGCACATATGGAATCTTTCCACATGGACACGCTAAAGACAAAAATTATAAAGATATAAATAAGGGCAGGTTCTCTGAATTTATAAAAGAAACGTGATTTCTTCTAGCCTTGACACTTTCTGAGATATTCCACCTATTATACAGAATAAAAACGCTATGGATTGATCAATGTTTTTTTGAGAAATGGTAGCTTTCACGAAAAAAAGTGATTTTTTCGTGAGAATTTTTAAATGATAACTTGGTTGTAGATACAATGAATAGTTGGGATGAAATTTAAAAAAAATTGCATATTTCCTACAAAAAACGGACAGCGTGGATTTCCTAAATAGTTCTCTTTCCTTTTTATCAATCGCATTCTGGACCAAACTGATTAATTATTTTCAGTTCCACTCATCAACACAATATCATGTTCAGATGACGCAAAAACTCGAGTCATATTACTAATGAGGAATTTCTCTCTAGCCATCTTCACGGACTCCAATTTCAGAAGCTGAAGCGAAAGAGTTTCTGAAATATGAAACCGTAGCATTGTTGGCGAGAGTTTGATGTTCTGTTGATGGAATTACCAGCTCAAACGAATAGGCCGAATGGAAATAATAATGGTATCCGACACGGGGAACAGCGAGATTGATCATTTTTTTGAAATGTTCAGTTCGTAAATATGATAGAACTAACCAATACTTGATGAAAATCCATTATAACGCATTGAAAAAATCTACCAAGATAAATATATCTCAGTTCCATACCACAGATACATGAAGAACTTTGGAAATATTTTCAAAGAACTAGATATGAAGGTAGTTTTTAAAACAAGTCATACGTTACAGAGCTTTTTAGGAAATCCAAAAGACAAAGTCGAGAATTCGAACAAATCTGGAATTACGAAATTAAATGTAAGGACTGCGAAGCAAAATATTATGGACAAACAAAAGGATTTATTAAAATAAGATATAAGAAACACTTATCACATCTAAAATATGAAAGACCAGAAAAATTAGCAGTCGCCCACCATATTTTGCAACATTACCATTCCATATACTTTAGTTCATCAAGATTAGTTAGACAAGTCAACAACAACAACAGGTGAGAGTGTAGAAATAAGTAAACATAAAACATATTGTAAAATTAATTTAAGACTAGTATAAATATTGTGAAATTAATTTAATACACTTAAGGCGCAGGTAACTAGAAGAGGTATCTATTTTATAAATAAGGATAACATATATTTAGTTTAATCTTCCTCTCTAAGATGATCACTTGGTGATCGAAACAGGTGTCGAGGTGTTAAAATAGTAATAATCTATTTTATTGTTAAATTTTACGGTTTACAACACTGCGTCACGTATTTCGTTATAAATTAGCATCTTCAGGCGTCACAGTACTTCAGTATATTACACCTGAATAATACATTCGTGATATCATTTAGTTTCAAGTGATGAAATGAAAATGAAATGATACCAAGACCAACTCAGTTAAAAAAATATAATTATTCATAAACATGCAATACAAGTTATCCATTCGAAGTGGAAATAGAAAATTATACTGTGCTTCCCAAAAACTTTCTTTCATTGTGGCCCAAACCATTTCAATTGGATTGAACACACAATATTATGGAGGCAAATGTAAGAGAATATGACCACGTGTTTCACACATCGAATCAATAATATACTCTTTTTTGAAATTACGTTATTTTATGGTCGCCAGTAATACCTTTTTCGTTGCGATCTTTTCGGGTATTTCCATGTCATGTCATATCTGCTTTTTTGTGTTATTGTTTGGTATTTAAGTCAATAACCGAGAATGATACGAAGCGTTATCCTTAACAATAACCGAGTTTGGAGGAATATTTGGGAGAAGCTGCTCACTGAAACAGGTTTCGAATAAAGCCGCAGTCATATCTTCGTGGTAATCAGCAGACGAATCTTTTATATTTTTGGGCGACAGAAGCAAAGCGTTAGGTACGAAACCACTTTC